TACATTTTTTACTGTAAATCACCAACAATTCAGAGTCACCTTGACGGCCTCTCCAAAGTAGATGGGTCCCAAAGGACAGAAGACACCAAAAAACCACAGAAATACAAGATATGTATCAGAACCTGTATAAAGCGACCTAATCAACACCAAATTAGCTAGAGCAAAACTAAATTACAAAATGCAATAAAAAACATCTTGGGAGATGTGTTGATATAAATAGATGAAGGCTGTCGCCTCCTCTGAGAAACTCAAGAGGAGATACAAGATGACAACAGGCATCTTTGGGGTACCAGATACCAAATAGAAACATACTACAAGACAGAAAACAGACTTCCATGGAGTCCACTCAGATCACAGAGAAGTACCTCCGGGATGGCTAGAGTAGCATTCCAGTGATAGAGATGGTGTTCCAACAGTTAGAGAATCACCTCCGATCCCAAAAGTCCTCTCGGACCTACGAGACATACCTCTAGGATGGATACAGTAGCGTTCTGGACCATAGAGATGGTTTTCCCACGGCTAGAGATGCTTCCAATCCCACAAGTCCTCCCAGATAATGAAGACATACCTCTTAGATGGCTAGAGCGGCCTTCCAGTCATAGAGGCGGTGTTTCCATAGCGAGACATTCATCTCCAATCCAAGAAGTTTTCTGGTGTTGTGGAGATATACCTGTGGAATGGCTAAAGTGGCTTTCCGGTCATAGAGACTGTGCTCTGGCCCTTCGACACAGTATGCCGGTGGCTAGAGAGTCAAAAGAGGCCAAAAAGAGGTGGGAGGCCAAAGAGGTATAAGAGGCCAGAGGGCAAACAGAGACCAGAAAAATAGAGACCGAAGAATTGTAGAAGCCAAAAAGGTCTGGTAGGATGGAGGGTGAGTGGAGGCCAAAAATAAGGTTAATTAGAAGACAGAAAAAGGTGGAGGCTGAAATGGTGTGGGAGAACAGAGGCAATTAGAGGCCAGAAAAAAGTGGAAGCCAAACAAAGGTGGGATGCCAAAAAGGTGTGAGAGGATGGAGGTTGAGTAGAGGCCAGAAAAAAGGTGAGGCTGAAAAGTTATGTGAGGCTGAGAAGGGGTGAGAAGCTGGAGAGCAAGTAGAGGCTAGAGAACAGGGGAGGCCAAAAAGGGGTGGGAAGCCAGAGGGCAAGTAGAGGCAAGATAAAACTGAAGGTCAAAAAGGGGTGGGAGTATGAAAAGGGGTGGGAGGCTGGAGGAGAGGTAGAGATCAGAAATAAGAGGACACCAAAAACAGGTGAGAGGGTGAAAAGGTGTGTGAAGCTGGAGGGGAGGTAGAGGCCAGAATAAATTTGTGGCTAAAAATGGGTGGGAGGCCAAAAAGGTGTGGGAGGCCAAAAAGGTGTGGGAGGCCAGAGGGCCAGGAGAGGCTAGAAAAAAGTGCAGGCTGAAAAGACATGGCAGGGTTTAAAAAGGGGGGAGGGCG